CATTTTGACCCCCCATATGATGGGCGCCATGATAAATAAATGTCAATAAATTTTAAGTTGGCACTTCTGACAAGACAGAATCGGCACAAGTTTAGTAATAAGCGTAAGATCAACGTTCGACGTATATAATCGATTTTATTATCTGTTGTGTTGTTTATTTTGTTCTTCTAGTAAAGGTTTTATTTAAAACATTATTTTTTAGTTTAGTCGTTTAGTGTTTTATTTTAATAAAAACATTTGTGGTTTGGTGTTAAATTTTTACAGGATTTTCAAAATCTCTTGTTGTTTTGTACGTGAATGTAATAATGCATCCAACGGTAGAAGATACAAGGAAGGAATAACATTTCACGTGTAAGTTTTCAAAAATATTTGTATATTTTCAAAATCAAATAATTTGTGTTTTGTTGTAGCATACCAAAAAATTTTAAGAAAGAATAACTGATAGCCATAGGAAGACCATTGAATCATTTTGTGACTTTAGTATAAGCCCAGAAAATTTGGGGATACTAGCTGAAACGGCAAATGTGTTATTGGCTCCTTGTTAGTGACCTATTGTACAATTTTTCGAACACACGTTCCATGATCCTTTGAACTTGGCTGCACCGTACTGATGAAGACCAATAGTCAGAAAAACGTGTCGACCGTTACTTCTTTTTTACTTTTTTTTATTTGGAAAATGTCCACTATTACTACCTTGATACAATAATATTAGTTCCGTTCTAAGTAGGTACATATTATAGTTTGTATGTTTTATGCTTTATTTTATTACATGTAATAAATGATAGGAAATATACTTTTATAGTAAATAAATTGATTAAAGCAATATGTAAGAATAAGTTTATCTAAGGATTAAATTGTTAAAGCAATTTTTCATATCCATTGTTTATTAATTTGTTTCATTTAATTCTTTCTTATTGAGTAAGTTATTTCATATAAATATGCGATACTTGTAAAATGTAATATTTTCTTTTAAATATACAGTATGGTTCAAATAAAAGGAATAAATTCATTATAATGGCAGTAGTTGGTTTTTCGAAAAAATTCTTGGACAGGTCAATTTTGTTTGCTCAAAGCGCAATTTTTAAATAGAATTCAATTTTCCCCCACTTCCCGTTTTTGGGCAGTGACGTCATTGACAATTTTTTAAATAGTAACCCCAATTTTTTTTTCTTGATTTTGAAAGATCTTGCAATTTCCTACTCGAAAACATAATATTTGAAATATCTGACATAAAAATTTTTTTGAATAAAATTCATTTAAAGATCAGATACATAAATTTTATTTTATTTTGAAACACAATAAATGAATAAAAGATTTTTTGTAATTAAGTGCTTCATCTAAAAAAATAATAATAACAATAATAATAAAAAGAATTTAATGACAATTTCACAAATTCTTTATTATTATTATTATTATTATTATTATTATTATTATTATTATTATTATTATTATTATTATTATTATTATTATTATTATTATTATTATTATTATTATTATTATTATTATTATTATTATTATTATTATTATTATTATTATTATTATTATTATTATTATTATTATTATTATTATTATTATTATTATTATTATTATTATTATTATTATTATTATTATTATTATTATTATTATTATTATTATTATTATTATTATTATTATTATTATTATTATTATTATTATTATTATTATTATTATTATTATTATTATTATTATTATTATTATTATTATTATTATTATTATTATTATTATTATTATTATTATTATTATTATTATTATTATTATTATTATTATTATTATTATTATTATTATTATTATTATTATTATTATTATTATTATTATTATTATTATTATTATTATTATTATTATTATTATTATTATTATTATTATTATTATTATTATTATTATTATTATTATTATTATTATTATTATTATTATTATTATTATTATTATTATTATTATTATTATTATTATTATTATTATTATTATTATTATTATTATTATTATTATTATTATTATTATTATTATTATTATTATTATTATTATTATTATTATTATTATTATTATTATTATTATTATTATTATTATTATTATTATTATTATTATTATTATTATTATTATTATTATTATTATTATTATTATTATTATTATTATTATTATTATTATTATTATTATTATTATTATTATTATTATTATTATTATTATTATTATTATTATTATTATTATTATTATTATTATTATTATTATTATTATTATTATTATTATTATTATTATTATTATTATTATTATTATTATTATTATTATTATTATTATTATTATTATTATTATTATTATTATTATTATTATTATTATTATTATTATTATTATTATTATTATTATTATTATTATTATTATTATTATTATTATTATTATTATTATTATTATTATTATTATTATTATTATTATTATTATTATTATTATTATTATTATTATTATTATTATTATTATTATTATTATTATTATTATTATTATTATTATTATTATTATTATTATTATTATTATTATTATTATTATTATTATTATTATTATTATTATTATTATTATTATTATTATTATTATTATTATTATTATTATTATTATTATTATTATTATTATTATTATTATTATTATTATTATTATTATTATTATTATTATTATTATTATTATTATTATTATTATTATTATTATTATTATTATTATTATTATTATTATTATTATTATTATTATTATTATTATTATTATTATTATTATTATTATTATTATTATTATTATTATTATTATTATTATTATTATTATTATTATTATTATTATTATTATTATTATTATTATTATTATTATTATTATTATTATTATTATTATTATTATTATTATTATTATTATTATTATTATTATTATTATTATTATTATTATTATTATTATTATTATTATTATTATTATTATTATTATTATTATTATTATTATTATTATTATTATTATTATTATTATTATTATTATTATTATTATTATTATTATTATTATTATTATTATTATTATTATTATTATTATTATTATTATTATTATTATTATTATTATTATTATTATTATTATTATTATTATTATTATTATTATTATTATTATTATTATTATTATTATTATTATTATTATTATTATTATTATTATTATTATTATTATTATTATTATTATTATTATTATTATTATTATTTTGTTAGATTAAGTACTTAATTACAAATAATTATCTTTTATTCATTTATTGTGTTCTCAAAATAGAATAAAATTTATGTGTCTGATCTTTAAATGACTTTTATTCAAAAAAAATTGTTATGTAAGATATTTCAAATATTATGTGTCCGAGTAGGAAATTGCAAGATCTATCAAAATGAAGAAAAAAAAATGGGGTTACTATTTAAAAAAATTGTCAATGACGTCACTGTCCAAAAATGGGAAGTGGGGGAAAATTGAATTCTATTTAAAAAATTGCGCTTTGAGTAAACAAAATTGACTTGTCCGAGCATTTTTTCGAAAAACCAACTACTTCCATTATAATGAATGTATTCCTTTCATTTGAACCATACTGTATATTATGTTTGTATAAAATATTGTTCAGTTAGTAAAAACAGAAATATTTTGTCTTTTATTCAAAAGAAGATTGTAAATTTTTCAAAATATATTTACCTACCCCAAAAAAAGATTAATAAAACCAGTTAGTCATGTACACATTTTCTATATATTTATAGAGGTACTTTTTAAATAACTTTTAATACATTCGAAATCTGTGGTTTTATTAAACTCAATGTAACAAATTAATAATAATAGGTATTCTCAAAAATATTTAAAAATAAAATCGAGATGGGACTCTTGTATAATTTAGTGACTATTCGCCTATGGTTAGTGCACTGCTGTATGTCCCTGGGTTTTCTACATTAGAACAATACTGCTTCTCCACTCTAGCAGTATTTTTTGCATCTCACAAGATTATATTTATTAAAAAAACCAAGGAATTGTTTTGAGCCTATTGCTGTGCCCTTTTCCAACATTCCCAAAGTTTTTTTTTACTTTCTGCTGATTGGATCTCCGATAGCGACAACTCCATTTGTTGTTCCACTAGTTTTTAATCAAATTTTTAAAATAACTTCTATATATTTATCTTTTGCAACGACTTTGCTTACCTGCTTCATAATCTCTTTCATATGCCCCAATTTCTCTAACAGGTGAGATCTTATACTCGCTCTATTAAATCAAATTATCATTATAGTTTATTTGAAAATGCTCTTGGTAGCACAGTTTTTATGGCAAAGATCCATATTTTTATATAATTTTGCTATTATTCATTTTTAAATAAACTATAGGAATAGGAGTAATCTATTAGTTTTTCTAAAAATACCTTGTTACCGATGTAAGTATATCTTTCCCTAGTTAAAAAATTCGAGTTTTTATTTTCATAATATAAATAAATGACCGGTTAACAATCACATTCTTTTAAATAGTACATTTGACATTGAAGTAGGTATTTCCTCCATATTGCCAAACAGGAACAGATGGTTTACTTGTAATTTGAATTATATTATATAAATCTCACTGAATTTCTCTATAATTCTCATAGCAATATGTACACAAAACACTTATCCAATAATATATATAACCATGTAAAAATAACATTTCAAGAACGAGAAAATTTATAAAACCGGTCCTGTCTGAACAGATCTAGGAAAATCAAATAGGTTTGTCAAAGTTTTGTTCTTAATTTGAAATTAGAAATTGTGCGTCTCACTCACTTATAACTAATAACAAAGTGCAGATTATCGGTGTTCACGTATTACAGAACACACAAACTAAAAATCAGTATAGCCATAACATAAATTTACCTAACATGGCGACAAGCTTGAATGGGGTCATTTTTTTGTATTGACAGCATACGCCAAGCGGTATCTAGACTTTCTGAGGGCTATGATTTGTGCTCTTGAATAAATAAACAGTTTTATTTTAAAGTGTTTGTGGTGTTTGTGCTACTTATAAATGCAAGTGCTCATTTCTATAAAAATTGAATGTAAAATTTACAATATAATTTGATATAAAAGTTTCCATTTAAGCAATTTATTAATTTTACACATTTAAAAAACCACTGAAGTACCATATTCTAAATTCTAATTTGATTTTAATTATCCAATAATTTAAATTTTAGATTTATACAAGAATAAAAAATTGAATATACTTAATATTAGCGATTAAACATGTCTACAGTCGAAAATTTGAATGTAAGTATATGCAAATGATTAAATTTTTAAATAACATTTGTGAACATTTAATTGTTACCTGTTAAATATTTTATTTTAGAAAGAGATAAAAATTTCGCAAAAACAAAAACGAAAAGTATTTTGTGATTATGTAAAAGGTGCATTATTAAAAACTTTTCTGTTAGTAAGATATTATTTAGATCTCTTGATAGATTATATATTTGGTTATTTTAACGATTATAAAAGAGTACCAATAAAAAAATGCACAAATCCTATAATACTCCAAAGTGCCACAGCACTTGCAAGAAAAATTAAAAAAAGGGAATTAACATCTGAAGAAGTGGTTCAAGCATATATTGATAGAATCAAAGAAGTAAATCCAATTTTAAATGCTCTTGTAGACTCTAGATATGAAGCAGCTTTAGAAGAAGCTAGAAAAATTGATAAAGACATTGCTATTGGTAACATACAAGAAGTTGATTTTCAAGAAAAACCATTTTTAGGTAAAAATATATTTTTATTCAATTTAAAAATGTTGTATTAAGTAGTTAATTAAATTTTTAGGTGTACCTTTTACCACTAAAGAATCTAGTGCAGTCGAGGGGATGTCATTTACTTTTGGGATAATTAAAAGAAAAGGTCGTAAAGCTTTATTTGATGCAGATTATGTAGATCTCATTAAGAAAGCTGGTGCAATTTGTTTAGGTATTGAAATTTGTTATTAATTTATTTTGAAATTATTTGCAGTGTATTGTCAATCTACATGTTTGTAGGTGTTACAAATGTACCACAATTGAATCTTTGGCAAGAAACTCATAATCCTATATATGGAATTACTAATAACCCATATAATACAACAAGGAATGTTGGTGGTTCTTCAGGAGGAGAAGCTAGTTTATTGGCTGCCGGTGGAACATCTATTAGTATCGGTGAGTTTACCATGAATTTATAAAATCTTTAGATTTAATTTGAATGACCGAACTCACATAGGTGGCCCATTTATATGGTAGAATGCATGAGTTGAATGATTGGGAAATAGTGGTAGTACAAAAAGTGATTGAGGCTGCAGTGCCACCATGCGAGCCCTAGAGGAGGGAAAGGCAAGCTGGAACCCCTTAGGGGGAACAGAAGGATGCCTGAAAGGAAAAAAAAAATTAAATTATAAATAACATCAGATAATGAGATATGATAATTTTTTATTTTAACATAAATTATAGGAACATTTATAGTCGTACACCTTAGATAAAAGAGACCAGAGATATAACATACACCGGTGTTTAACCTGTGCAAATGTTGCCAATTTTTAAAGAAAGGTTAACGGAGTGGGGGAACTGGGTAGAGACCTGAACTCTGTGACAGGGACCGGACTTTGTTTATTAGCATCATAATGACCTATTAGATTTATTTCAAATATACGTTTAATGGAACTTAATATTATGAAATAAAATTAACGTGATTTTTTAATATCAAACAGATGCCACGACATTTTATGCAAAGAGAAGGACCTTTTATAGAATATTTTGTTAGCGTTTATTTACTATGAACTTTTCAGCAAGAGACTACAGTAAAATGTTGAAATAGAATATTATTAATAGAGCAAGAAATGGTACTCATTGTCTACGAGTATTATAAAAATAGCATGTGCCCAGGCGAATACTGCAAATCAAACCTTGTAAGTTGAACATTATATTTTTTCTACAGCTATTACATAATATTAAAAATTAGTCAAAATGAGAAAATGCTGTTTTGTATTGTAACCTCAGCTTCTTTCTTTAGGAATATTAATTAATACAGAGGATGAGTCACATACAACTCGTATGTCTGAAACCAGGTAACATTTTAAAATTTAAACCTATTAAAAGTCATTTGGTCTATAGGGGTGGATGATTATCGAAATAAATTATCAATCATTGAAAATAATAGATTATTTTCAATCGATCGATTATTTACAATCTATTTTGTTGTCGTATTTCCTTTAAAATCGACTACTTGATTATTTTTAAAAAATCAATGATAATCGATTAATTAAAAAGCCAATTAACCGATAAATCAGTGTTTACAAAAAATAATAAAAGAATTATCGTTTATTTTAAATAATCGATTATTTTCAAATAATCCATTTTTTTTGTCCATTGAAACAGATTATCCAATAATCTTTGAAAAATCGAAAATAACCGATTAATCAAAAATAATCGATTAATTAAAAAGTCGATTAACTGATAAATCGATTTTCAAAAAAACCGAATTATCGATTATTTTAAATAATCGATTATTTTCGATCAATTGATTATTATCAATAATTTATTTTTATTGTATTTCCTTTAAAATCGATAATTCGATTATCTTTGAAATACCGAAAATTATCGATTATTCCAAAATAATCGCTTAATCGAAAATAACCAATTAATTAAGAAGTCGATTCTACGATAAATCTATTTTCCAAAAAAATAAAAGAAATATCGATTATTTTCTAATCTTTTCATATTTCCTTTAAAATTAATTATTCTGTTATCTTTGAGAAATCTAAAATAATCGGTAAATCGAAAATAATCGATTATTAAAAAGCTGATTAACCGATAAATCGATAATTCTAAAAAATAACCGCAATATCAGTTATAAATAATAAGCGATTATATTCGATCAGTCGATTATTTTCATATAATACCTTTGAAAAATCAAAAGTAATCGATTAATCGAAAATAATCGAATAATTTAAAAAACCGATTAAAAGATAATTCGATTTTTCCAAAAAAAAATTGATTATTTTGAATAAATCTACTTTCTTTTTGTATTTCCTTTAAAATCGATTATTACGTTATCTTAAAAAACGAAAATAACTTATTAAAAATAACGGATAAATCGATTTTCATAAAAAAATATCAGAATAATCGATAAATCTATTATTTTTGTAACCCCTATCAGTCGCTTGCTTTTATCTGAGCATTTAGCTCCAAAATTTAGAGATTCGGATTTTTTGATCACGTTATCTTTGAAACCGCATTCGATTGTATAATAAATAATAAATATTGCTAGAATTTAGATTTTTTAGTAAACGAAAATTTTGTTCAAGTTGTTTAGGGGGTTATAATGTAACATTTTATTAACAATGTGACTAATTCCCCTAACTTTAGTATTTTTTTTGCTTATACTAGATCATATTGTGCGTTTTACTTTGTTTTAAGTCTTAAGATTCAAGGTCACTTTCGATTTGACCACAAATAAGATGAACCTTGAAATTTTAAGTAGGTCATCCTGTATTTCATCTAATATTCTTATAAAAATACCTTATAAAAATTAAATATCGTTACCAACAATGCCTATTTACTTCTTATTTAAATTGAATGTTCAAAATTTTACCCTTTTGTAAATTTATGTAACTAATATGAAATCTGTTTTCTGAAATATGTATTTGATGCCTAATATTTATTAAAACCCCTTAATGCGGATCTGAAGTATTTAGCCCAGAGGATCATGGCGCTTTATGTCAAAACGTTAATAAATATTTACCGCTGAAAACGAATATATTTTTTATTTTTCATAGCATTGGTACTTGTATTATAAGTATATACAATTTTTCAAGATACATCGTGGCATTTTGAACTTAAAAATGAATAACTAGAACACTTTAAATTGCTAAAACACCAACAAATAAATCAAAAAACAGCTGTCAATGGTGATTATACTCAGGCGGAGGTGAGCGTTGAATGGAAAAATGGAGCAATTCGGGTGGCGTCGTGCAAACAATGATTTTCAATTGGTGGGTTACTTGGGGTTAAAATAGACAACATGCACAGTGTGCAATGTTACATCTTCGATCTCTTTAATCTAAGTCTTACAACTTATTTTTGAATTTTTGTTTTGTTCCTCTTGGGTTGTAGGTATTTTTTTTAATTTAATTCTATGATTTGTAAATATCCTGTTTTGTGCCTTCTTCAGAACTTTTTATTTTCGAAAATATTTTTTTATTATTGAATCGTTATTTATCTTCTATTAAGTATGTACTTTTGTTATTTTTTAAACAAATTATTATTATTATTATTATTATTATTATTATTATTATTATTATTACATGTTTAAAGTAATTGTTTTAGCTAAATAGCTACTTAGCATAATAGTAAACATTTTATTTGTAACATTCTGTATGCGAAGGACGTATCAAAACCCAGGTTTTTGTACAGAGTATTCCCGGGTGGGCTGAAAAATAGGAAAAATTTTATTATTTTCACCTTTTCGAAAAAGTGTTTTTGCTTGTTTCAAAACTAATAATAATCCAAAAAGAAGCTGAATGCCTTTTGGATTTAGTGAAATAATAACAAAATGTAAAAAGAAATCAAAATTATTACATGTGTGTTTTTTTTTTTTATTTACGGACTCGTCAGTTCCGTTTCCAAAGTTGTAATTAGGTATTTTTTGATTTAAAAAGAGCTTTATATTTTTTAATACTATGCACTGATTTTGGAATTAAGAAAAAACACCTACAACCCAAGAAGATTTTTTATAAAAGCCATTTTTAATAAATATGTTGAAAGGCTATTTGAATTAGGTATATTGATAAATAAAAAATCCTCATCTTCTGTGTTAATATATTGTGTCCATATATGGTTGTAGCTTAGGGTGGGTCAAAAAAATCGATTATTTTTTTTTACAAGTGACACGGAAAAATGGGTTGCTAGACACCTTAAAAAAATTCTCACCAAGCATGAGCTCTTAATTTTAATAGGAAGATCCTCCGCATCGCAGTTTTGTATTTTTTTCTCAGTCCAATAGAAAAAAAATCATACCTTCATTTATCGATTGAACAGAAAAATGTTACGAGAGAATTTTTTAGGAAATTTAATGCTCTACAAAAAAGGTATCTTATATTTTTTCCGTAAACCTCACCATTTGAAAGATATTAAGGATTTAATTTTGACAAATTTCATTTTTGTTTATGAATTTTATAACTCGACAATAAATGACTTTTACAAAATGCGCAATACAATTTTTTGTTGGAAATTAACTGCTCTATAAAAATGGTTTCTTATGTTTTGGCGATGAAATTAACCGTTCAAAAGATATTCATCATCAAACTTTCATGTGTACGGATTTTAAAAGTTTTTGATGAGATATTCGAAAAATTTCAATTTAATTTATAATTTTTGAGAAAATTTACACGAATTTTTCAAGTTTTTATTTATGTTTAAGTATATTTGTCTCCATTTAAAAAATAAATTGGACATTATTTATCGCTTAGTTAAATATTTATTAATAAAAAAAGCAAAGTTTTCATTATACATATATTATGATATGTTTCAGTATCAGAGAAAAACAATGTCCAATTAGTTATAAATAAGTATTTTATTTCAATTTTCAAACAAGTTTTTATTGCAAGTTGGGTAATTTTTTCGATGCTCTTTGACAACTTGCAATAAAAATTGAAATTGCTCTTCGTTTTTTGTTAAACATTGGTTATATTCACTTACTAATGCGACACCTCGCTCTGCCACATCATTAACAACTTTTAATTGTGCGAAAAATTCTTTATTTTCATTATAACTGTCATCAGTAGACCATAAATCAATATTTTCATCAAGAAAATCATATGGCAGGTCAAAGAGCTCAAATAGTTTCATTGACTTCTTAGAAACAAAGTCACTTATGTTTTTTTGCAGAATTGAATCCAAATTTTTTTATCAATTATAAATCTTCTTGCTTTAGAATCTGTA